AAATATATTTTATAGAAAACGTTGACAAAAATATTTGTTTCGTAGTCATTTTTAAGAAATTGTACACCTGAAGAAAATTTTTAAAAGTTGCTGAATTTAAGGTTTACAAATTGAGAGCCGTATATATATTACATCTAAGACAAGTATACAACTTTAATAAATCTAATTTCGTAAAAAATGGGTATAAAAAGGCAGATGTGGTGCACATATTCTATAAAGTATTATAATTCAGCCCAATGGAGAAAATATTCATTGCTTTAGCGGTTATTCTTTCCACAATATACTTCATCCGCGCCGTCAGAAAGAACCTTGCTGAAAAGCTGGTGTGCATTTACTAATTACTATTACGAAATTATCGAGTAGTTTGCTGAGTTATAAAAAAATTAAAATTTCGGCTGAAATTCCACGAGATGGAGGATCTACTGTGGAGATTTACAAGAATCAACCACTCAACTTAAGTTTGTGAAAGCTAACGACGAAGTTAACGCATATACAATGGACACCAACTGGGAACCACCTTTATAGTTTAGCCCACTAAAACAGTAGATAGTAAGTATTTATACCATACAGTAAGACGTTTAACATTGCGTCGCTTTTTGAAAAAATCCTCACCTCGTGGAGACCGTCGAACACGAAAATCGGTTCCACTTCGCATTTCCTCATGTTCAACAGGTACCTTTCAACCAGGGCTTCGTACTGAAGGTACTCGCCGTTGAACTGGTTCAGAATGCTTGCTTCCTCATATAGGTTATTGGCAATGTTGGGACCGTCAACTACAATTGTCGTGCTGTGGAGTCTGTAAGTTGTGAAATTGGAAGGATTGTTGCGCAGAAACGTCTGAAGCAGAGAGACACCCATCACGATTGTACCGAGAACCAGCAGCAAGAGGGAGACAGTTGAACGCGTTGACAATATTAATTGCTGCACCCTGTCTTCTGACAGAGTTTATGGAATAACCAGCAGCCAATGAGATTGCCCAGTCGGCCTAGGCTACCAGTGGAATTCAACTATCAACCTAGCTATGTCTGAAGCATGTTGCATTCGCCTGCCAATCGTTGCGTACTCTCAGTGACAACCTTCTACCCAAGCACCTGATTGGTCGTCGCTATAACCGCCTACACTGTCCTGGTTGCCCACGCCGTGATTTCGGTTGGCGCGGAGTTGGAGCCACTCGCAGACAGTCAGTGTGCAGCGTTTTACTGACTGAAAGTCTGCAGGCGACGTAGGTAATGATCGGCGTCAAGTAATAAACAACAGAACGCTGGATTGCTCATAACTGTAGATAATATCCTTTGGGTTAATGAATTAATTTATCTATTTCATTGTTTTTCTAATCAAGATGGACTTTCTGTTAGATATAGCCTTACTATAAATAGCGTTGGAAATGAATATGCTCTAAATAAATAAGAAAAAGCATCCTCTTCTAAGTGATCTCTATCAATAGCGTCTTAAGTAGGTACTTTAGTGAAGCATGTTGGCGTACCATACCTTTTTAACGTTCAAATCAAGCTTATTATTGAGCCGAGGTACAGTTTCTTAATATTCTAGGAAGTTAATGTGACTTTGCCTTCCAAAAGTGAACAAGCGCACTGTCCTCTTGACATTGGAACCTTTTTCAATATAATTGTGAAGTCCGTTTTAAGATTGCAAATGAACGACATCAATATGCGTGAAGATTCCAGGTCCACATATCATTTCGTTTTCAACATCCCCCAAAGAAAAGGAATAAGAAGGTACGAGGACATGAACTGTTTTATTTTGAGACTGACGTTTTGGATATTCTCGTTTCCGTCCTCATATTAACTGGCTAGTGGTTCCTGTCCGCCCAGACTGTTGCAGGCTTGCCGCGTGTCTCTTATCATATCTGCGCTCGACGCACGAACTTTGATCTGCCTGATCGATATTGACTGAACGTGATATTGATCGCTGGTGAGCTCGTGTGATCTCTGTTCACTTTTCGGCTGTCGCAAGTCAGTGTACTGGGTGGCGTGCTCATCGCCGACTGACGAATGTTCCTACCCGCCTGAGCTGCTCCAAAACTGATTCTCTTCCACACACAAGTTTATTTGGCTTTCCTGTTGGCCTTGCTCGAACTGACTGGAGCTTTGTGCGCAATGCCCGGTAGGCGGGATGATACTCTACGGCTCTG